GGGGGGGGGGGTTATTGTGGACCATAGCAGCCCAACCTAGTCTGGTACAACACTCCTCAAAATCCGGAGATATAGTATGACCCCCATAGTATCCGCGTGACCTGTTCAGCTAGTTTTAATTGTCCTCTTAAACGGACGTTCACATAACATGTCGCTACCTCAGAATTACCAAGTTCTATCTTATATTTTTGGCCGTTTTGGGTTACTAAGACCATGAGGACAGAAACCAAATTTGAATGTCATATCTGCTCTATCAAAATCGTAAGATTATTCGAAGTCATTATTATAATATTCAAAGAATTGCATTCGAAAAAGCTTGACATGTGAAACTCAAACATTTTTACGCAAAATTTCTTAAAATTAGGTTCCAGGCAGATAGAACTTTGTAATTCTAAGGTAGCGACGATGTTGCAGACAGAAGTTGAATAAAATTATGTGCGTGATATTCCAGGGTGCCGCTGGCAGGTACTTCTTTTTTTTTTCATTCTCTTGTTTCTGTTCGTCGGTCTAGCCTTTTACCAAATTAAATAGCCGTTATCTTGTCGATGTGCTTCTCTTTTCGCCAACTCAATCCAACTAAAACTCCCGTGTTCCCTCTTTTTATAACGTAATTGTGATAAAATGACGTGAAATACAACAAAGTCCTGTACTCAAAACCAGGAATCGCTCGTGAAACAGGCCAGGCCAAATTGTAGAAAAGAGGCGTCCAACATAACCGGAAGCCTAAAAAACAAAACCCACCTCGTTGGTAGGTTTAACCAACTGCGTGTTTAGAGCGGCAAACATTACCAGAGACCAGTTTGAAACCCAAACGAATTACCTCCCGTGGACATAGCCAGCCAAACCGAACCGCGGTTTTTACTTCTCCTGTTTTGCGTTGAGGTGGTGGTGGCAATCGATTGTTGGACAAGTCGACGGTGCACAGATATCACTGCCACAACCACCAACTGGTTTGGTTTCCTTCCTCCCCACCTCGTGTCTCGGCCTGCCCCCGCGCTCCTTCTGTGTGGCGCTTAAAGCGGCAGTTCTTGTTATGGCGGCGGATTATTTTCGTCGCCGTCGTCGCGGCCCGCGTCCTGTGTTTTTCCTCCAACGTGGATGAACTGTACCGGGTCATTCTGATCACATTCAGAGGGGTCTCCGCTTCGCTGCAGCCCGGTAGTCAATTGTAGTTGCGCCCGCGGGTTTCACTGTACTTTGGATTACATTTGGGCAATATCGGGTACACTACGTTCTACACGGCCTCGGTCGTATCAAGTCTGTACCAGAGAGCTTTACGATAGTATACAGACTCGTCGAGAGCTTATTGGTGTGTTGAAATTCGCGAGATGGCTTTGGGATCTGTGCTGTTGACGGTGAAACCAACGGTGTTCTTCTTTATAGGGTGTACTTTGGATGTGTCTTCAACTGAGCAAGTTTTGTGAGGTCGTGTTGGCAGGATGTGTCGGAAATGGTAGTGATTTTTCGTCATGGTTCTTTACGATCACCTGTGCTTTTAAAGTTGCCTTTTGGGGTAAATAACTGTTGATGGTTGTTGTTTCAACAAATCTTAGAAGCTGCAAGAAATGGTCAAAAGGACCGATCATATCAGTTGAACTTGATATTATTATTATTATTATTATTACTGTATCAGCCGCTGATGTGTTACTCGGGACTAAAGTGGAATGGGCGGCTTCAACAACGCATTAACGTCTCTCCATGTATGATTTGATCGGTGTACCTTTCCGGATGCTAACGCAAAAAATCTTGCTCACCGTTTACGGAGACACGCTGATTGCTGCCATGGACGTCGGTCCAGATATTCTCTGACCCCAATCTTGTCCACACACTCAGTGATCCTTTATTGTGGCCCACAACTGGACAATGTGGTCTATCAAAAAAATACGCATCAAGATGGTGCGCCGGAAATCTGACCTGCTTTTGATATTTCTCTTCTCTTTCTTCCTGGTGTACATGATGTTGCTGGTATACGTCACATTCCTGCAACCCAATCCAGCATACGAACAAGCACACATGTCGGCCTACATGCTGGACTTGGACGGAGAGAGCCTGTACGAGCTGGACTCATCCGGACATCCTCACCGACAGAAAAACGGTGCACGTCACGCCCACAAGTGTAAGGAGAAGCAAAACTTTGTGTTCATCAAAGGTATGAAATGCGCTACGACGACACTTCTCGGTGTCTTCTACCGATTCGGCTACACGCGCAATCTGTCCTTCGTGACCCCCGTCCACTGGAAGATGCACCTCAACTGGCCATACCCCATGACGCCCAGGGACTATCGCCCGTCTCGAAGGGGCTACAACATTCTCACCGATCACGCCATATACTCAGAGCGCGAAATGGCCGCGATCATGCCCAAAAACAGCGTTTACATCAGCATTGTCAGGCACCCATTTGAGCAACTGAAGTCGATATTCCAGTATTTCAAGGTCCACAAAGTTGCAGGGGTCCCAAGCAAAGTGGAGAACCCTGTGGTGGAGTACCTGTCCAATCTCCAGCACTACGAATCGTTCTACCAGCGTCATAACGCTCCTAACCGTTGGTGTGTCCCCGATGGTTTCTCCATTACCAAGAACTTAATGTCTCACTGCCTCGGCATTCCTCTGGGTTTTCCCGCAGGCACGAAAAACATCACATCAGATAACGACGAGATACAAAGATATCTCGTGCATTTCGACCGAAAGTTCAACCTGATACTTATCGCTGAGCATTTTTTCGAGTCGCTGATTTTACTGAGACGGCTTATGTGCTGGGAATTCTCAGACATCGTTTTCAACAGCGCGAATGTGGCGCAGTACAAATTCAAGACTATGGAAGTGCCGGACTCCATCATGGATATTCATCGCAACTGGAGCAGCGTGGATTACAAACTCTTCGAACACTTTAACGCGTCTCTGTGGAGACTGATTCACCAACAGGGCCCGGATTTCTATGACGAAGTCGAGGCGTTTAAAATTGTGCAATCTCAAATTAGCAGCTATTGTTCAAAGATTTATGACGTAAAGGACAAAAACTCTATCCCAGCATATTTAAACAAAACTGTGGTGCCATCCTCTGAGTGGACACGCCAGTTCTCGATGCTGCCCAAAGACTGTCTGCTCATGGGACCAAACCCGTACGCCACGTTACAGATTATTCAGGGAGAGAGTGACGTCCGGGATGGGGACTTGATACGTCAGCAGGACAGTGTTCCGGACAATAGAACAATGAAGGGCTCGTGTTGACCAAGCTAGTCACCTCGGCCCATTTGAAGGGATCTCACTGCACATATATATTGTGTACATGTGTGCATTTGCATGATTAATGTGTGTGTGTGTGTGTGAGAGAGAGAGAGATTCAAGATTCAAAATGATTTATTGATTTGAAAGGCCTTTGGCCCATACATCCACATATTTTA